GTTTTGCGCCGAGCGCTACCTACCCTTCCACATGCTCGCCGCGACCTTCCTGACTGAGTCCAGGGAGATCGGCCACGCCGGCAGGGCCCAGGCCGCCGTGAAGTCCACCCAGGTGCGGACCCTGGACCGGAAGGCTCTGAGAGGAGCGCGCCATGATAGCGCCGCAACGAATGCGCCTGGAGCTCTGGGCTCGCCGACCATCGCGCCGCACCGGGATGTCAGCCCTGACCGGCTGCGCCTGGCACGGCTCCACTCCACCAGGCGCCTCTGGTGGCTCGCCCTGCTCGCCTGGCGGGAGGGCCAACCTGCTCTCCGCCGGGCTGGGCGCCGGGGCTCGACGTGAGCTCTCCGGGGCCGGGCGCCACGCCCCCTCTTCTGGCACGCCGGCCAGGAGCAGCGCGCCAGTGTTGTCCAAGGCGCCTCGGAGGTCGCGCACCCCCACTGCCGGCAGGATCGGCAGGAATTCTTGAGCCTGGATGTCGACGAAGGCCCGCGCCACCTGCGCGAACCCGCCGCCGGCCGAGAGGTCAACCGCCGACATCCTTGAACCGGGGGGGATCTTGAGCCGCTACGACCTCAACGAACGGGCCACGACGATTAGGGGAGAAGGGGGGCCGGGCCGGGTGGGCGGCAGCACTGCCACTACGCGACTGCACTCCAGTCACACACCGCCGGGCCGACTTTTCGCGCCAGGCTATGATCCGAGGCTCCTGGGCCTCCCGACCTGCACTTACGGCACGCCGGGAAGCAACTGCAGAAACTAATTAAAGCATCGTGGGCCTGCGGCCGCCGGAGAGGCCCGCGAAGGCATCGCGGCGCCGCCGGGACCGAAAAGGGGAGGGAAGAAACCGGCTAAGGGCTACGCCAGGAGACCTGCCATGCGGGTGATCGCCAGGAAGAGGTAGGTCTCGCCGAGGTCAAAGTAGCCCGCCGGCGGGTGGCACTAGAACCGGCCGTCACCGTCACGCGTGTTCCGGTAGCGCCGGCACGCATCGCACAGGTGGTTGTTGTGCGCCTCCAGGTCCTCCGTGCCACCACGCCGAATCAGAACCGGGCGTATAGGCACCTGCCGCCGGGGCTTTGGCAGACGCCTTCAAAGCCGGGGCATGGCCGTCCACACCAGCCCACGCACCAGACCTCGCCGGCCAGCCGCTCAGGGATGCGACCGCCGCGATGGTTAGGCACCAGCGAGCGGACTATGTAATCCGCTGCGCCGGGCGCCGTGGGCACCACGGCCGTGGCTGCACCGCCGCCAAGCCGCGCCCGATCTTCGAGCTCATCGAGGGCCTCCACCGAGGCGACGATGGAGGCCATCATCGCCGCCGGGATCGGGATATCCGAGGAGGCGCCAGGCTGGTTGATCCGCCGAATGTGGTTCTGCCACCCGACGGAGCAGAGCCTGAAGCGAACGTCCACCAGCCGCCGAAAGAGCTCATCGTTGTGGCGGCGCTCTGCTTCCGTCGCCGTCCGGCCAGGACGCCGTGGCAACTCCGGGAAGCCCTCCCCCGTTGTCCGGTTGACCGTATAGGTAACGCCGCGAATCTCCATGCGGACGAAACCAGGGGGGATGGGCGCCTGGGCAGCGGGGCCGGTTGAAGCCGGCTGTGCCGGGGCCCCCGCCGCGATCTCTGCTGCAATCTGGTTCTGCAGCGCCGTCATCTCCGCTGAGTTGGGGGCCGGCGTCTTCGCCACCGGAGCCGGCTTCGCCGGCGGGAAAGATGACTGCTTCGCGGAAGCCGCCGCCCAGGCCGCGTAGAACTCCGCCGCGGAGACAAAGTTCAGCTCCCTGGCCTGCCGGGCGTCCGCCTCCGAGTTGAAGCCCTCGGACTGCCACAAGGCCACCGGCGGCCCCTTGGGCATGGGCTTGGCCGGGATTGCCGCCGCCTTGGGCTGCTGCTGGCCATCAGCCTGACCCGCCGGCGCAGGTGGTTTTGCAGCGGTGGCACCGGCCAGGGTGCCGGGTAGCCCTGTACCTGCGCCGCCGCCGGCGGCTCCGGGTTAGGCTCCGGGACGGTGGGCCCTGCTGCACTGGACGCCGCCACATCGTTGGAACCAGAGGCGCCACTGCCGCCGGGGGGTGCATCATTCGACCCGGAGGCGCAACCAGAGCCGGGGGCAGCTGCCGGCTGCTTTGCCTTAGGCACTGCCGGGTTCGCATTCCCCGCCGTCCGGCCTGGCAAGGACGCCTGTAGCATCAGCATCAAGGCTCGCCGGGGACCCGGCGGGCACTGCTGGAGGTGGGGGCCCAAGTCCTCCCCCTCCTCCAGCGCCGCCAGGATCACCACGAAGGCCGCCTCGATGTCTGCCGGCGAGAAGGACATGGCTCAGCCGGGAGGATGCTGCAAAACGCCTGTTCACCGAAAAAGCGACGTCGAGCCGGAGCAGCTGCCGGCACGACGAGTCGCTAATGTCCATGCGCACACACGTGTGCTACACAACAAACTGAGCAATGGGAGACGAGCAGCCTGGCAGAAATACATAAACAAACATATTCAAAAAACGTGTGCGCATACATACATACCTACCTACGCCGACCTACGCACGTACACACGTAAATACGTACATATGTACATATGTACGTACATTGTACGTCCATCCATCTAGCCATCCATCCATGCATCCATTGGGTGGGTGTGTCTGTGTGAACGAGTGTGTCTGTGCATGAATGTATGCGGCATACATCCACATGCACCTTCAACTCTGCGTCGGTTCTGGCTAGAGTCAGCACTGACACTGTTGGATCCTCATCGTCGCTGTCGTGGTTTTGTTTAGTTGCTTCCTGCAGCAGTCGCCCTCTCCAAAGCAAGATACTGCGCAAAGGGCTGGTAGAGCACTGTTAACGGGAACGGCTGCGTGATGGGAAAGGATGGGAACCTCAGTAGTGTAATTTCAGATGTCACTCGCCACAAAAAAAGACAGAGATTTGCAGAAAGCGGGGGGAATTCCTGGAGGACTCCGAGCTTCGGGCCGAATCACGAGTCTTTGCAGAAAAACTCACTATTCTAGAGAGCGAAAGGTGTTAAGAATTTGTTAAGAATGCAGACTCCTCGAAGTGCAGCAATGGATATATCCCGTCAGAGCTCGGGGCCGCGAAAGGCAAAAGGGCCCAAGACACCGAAGATGAAAACAAGCTCATCGAGGCAGCCGAGCTTCGGGGGCGGGGGCAGCAGGGCCCCCCAGCGGAAATGCTCCCAGTAGCTGCGAAACCTCGGTGAAGAGAGGCATGCAAGCTTAACATCAAGTTGGACTGCGTGGTTTCAGAGGCAGCTTCATCACAGAACCAAGCGACCAGGACTCTTTGTCACGAACAGTCACGATAACCTGGCATCATCGAGAGGACTTTAACTGCTACGAAGAAATCCTCTTGGAATCTTAGCTCAGCATGCTGCAGTTGCAGTCAATTAGAGGTCACACAGCCAGCATGCCTTAGACTGACCACGTCCATCCCGGAAAGGGGCACACTTTCTTTATAAAACCCGCCTTGGCCTTGGGATAGCGTCGGTGAAGCTCAACTCCATACCTCAGCAACGGCGCAGCCCTCTGCAGACATGCTGTACAGAACTGATTGATTGACATGGCTCGACAAGAAGCTATAGACAAAGTCAGCAAACTGAATATGCCAGCAAAACGTCAAAACCCAGTTGTAAACCCACTGTTGTGCGGTGTTGCTGGGACCAAGGGATATCTACCAACGCCGTGACATTCAGCATCTCCAGTTGTTCCAGCGTAGGCTCCAGCACCTTGCGCACGAAACAACCGCGAGACCCTGAGGTCCAAAGCTCTCGCTGCCCCTAAACCCCTAAACCGCTAAACCCTAAACCCTAAAGCCCTACACCCTGAGGTGGTGTATAAGTAGCAGCAGGGGCCTCGAAACTGTGCTCGGCAAAGGACCGTCGAGCCGCCTCCACTCCAAGACTGCACTCTGAGTCTGGGGATGGGGAATGATGGAGGGCAGAGGCAGAGGCATCAAGTCCTTGATCCGTCCGTGAATGCTAGGCTTTTGCTCCGATGCAGGACGGATGAACGCGGACTGTTGCGTTGTCTGGGAACTTGGAACCCTGCGCCTTGGTCACACGGTCCACGATGTCCGGTGCTTCCCTTGCCAGCTGCAGCTTCGGATGAAAGCCTGACATCAGGAAACTGCCAGGAGGGCGACCGTTTCGTCCGTCTCCGAGGCAACGGCCTTCTGCGTGAAGAGTCTTGTGGCCCAGCTTGGCCAGAGCCAGCGACAGCGACTGAGTCGAAGTCCTTGAGACGCCGGCTGCAATGACCTGCTCAAGGCAATTCAGAATCTCTACGGCGAGCAGCACAGCACGCGCCAGTTTGAAGTTTCTGGTCACCCTGCCTGTTCCGTTCATACCTGGCCTTGTAGCAGAAGCCTTGCTCATACCCAGGGGCCAAATCCCCATCACCCCAACGGGTTGCTAGACCTCCCGACACAGATAAGAAGCTCATTGCACCTTCTAGCTTTGTTGCGTTGTTTTGTGCCTCGTCCCAGGCTGACCACAGCTTTGACATGTCTAGCTAAGGAACATGCCGAGCTCCGCAGCTCGGCCATGCTCTACCCTCGAAACGGAAACGTAGTTACACTGCAATAGGGTACCGTAGCCCGCAGTGTAAGATGTATCCAGTTCAATACTGACCCTCATCCTCGCCGTCCTCCTCCTCCTCCTCGTCTTCCTGGTCCACCTCATCCCCATCATTGAAATACGTCGCTTCGTCGCCATCATCATCGTCATTGCCAACATCATTCTCCATGTGTCCACCAGCATCGTGAGCCCAACACCCTTCGCTCAACCCGTCATCCACTGCACCACAAGAAAGTCACCCACGGTGCCTGGATTCCTTCAGCAGCTGCCTGTGGAAGCGCCGTCGCAAGCAAGACCCTCAGCAGCGCCGTCATCCAGGAGGCCTCCCTAGCTGTGGACGTGGGGCTGAAATGGCTGCATGCCCGCAGCTAAGCACTGCCCGTCCGTAGTCCGAGAGTCCGAGGAGGCAGCTTGATGGTAGCTTCTTGGGTCGAACTGCCTTCCAGAACTCCTGGCAGGGACAGGTGATCAGACCGCCCTGCTATCGGCCGAGGCTCACGACTTGCGGTGTCCTTGAACCCCCTAACCACTGGTCAGCTTGCAATCAGGGTGCTCCTGTGCCTTCGAAGCCTCCTCAACCTAGGACGATGAAGCCCCACGTGTGCGTCTCCTGAGAGGCACAGTTCACCAAGAATTTGGCCTTGCTCAACTTGAGCTCCTCCGGAAAGGGCCAGACTCTAGCAAAGCTCTGCGAAAATTGAGCCCTGCCTTTGCAAGGGCATCAGTGATGGTGTCACCCCAGACATCGTACATCGTCTTGCCTGGAGTTTTAGGGGAGTGTGCCAGTACTTGGACAGAAGTCACCCAGCCTCGCAGCTTCGAAGTCATCTCCAGGCGGTATGGCCTCCAAGGCGCGTGGGTCTTCACGCCGAGGAATGAAGCCGAAGCCCCCTGAAGGAGGCCTGATCAGATCGTAAGGCTTCAAGACCTGGCGAAAAGGGTGACACGACCGTTAAGCCCCGGCTTCGAACTACATACCTGAAGTACCACAAACGACACAACTAAAGCTTTGCAGGCATGACCCCATAGAGCGCACACCTGGGCTGAAGGCTTGCAAATGCAGCAGATGACATGAAATGCTCTCTTCCTGATTCGGTAATTGATTGCTGTCCATGTGACGGCTTCCTACCGAAAGTGGCTTGAGGAGACATCTTCCGATTCAGACTCGTGCTCCAGTGCAACTTAACCCAACTGAACGTCGCAGATGCCGAGGACGGGGCAAGATGCGAACACTTGCCTGTGCTTGCTTCTCGTCTGCCTCACACGACGAATCAGCAGATGCCAGATCCTTGACCTTGCTGCCGAGGTTTCCTATCTCACTCACTGAAATACTCGGCAGATCCCTAATGGCCCTAATAAAGGCACTGGACATTGCTGCCTTTTGACGAAGTCCTGCCTTCGAGAAGCTCTTGGCCGCAAAGCCACGAAAGGCGGGGCCATCAAAGGCCAGGCCTCTGATGAAGTTGCATCAAACTCTTGGCCCGCGCTTCCTACTCTGCCACGTGAGAGACTTGGGATTTCAGCACTGATTACAGGTTCGTTTGCGGGGCCTGCTCAATTCCCGGACACCTGCATTGTGCTGCAGCGCACGAGACACTTTCGAAACCCCCAAGCCACGCCAAGTGCAGGATCCATATATCGGAAAGGTTGCGATTAAAATCAGGTCTCAACAAATATGGCTCGACACTCCGACCCCGAAGCACACTTAGGACCAAGCACGCAGCCTTGCTCGGCTGCGCTTTAAATTTGGCAAACCTGTCCGACAGGCCATCCACGGTGAAGGCACAAAACTGAATACACTCGCGTGTGTACGTGCATGTGTGTGCCCGTGTGCATATACCATCTGTACTTTTCGCGTCCCAAACACGCACGACTCCAAAATGAAGTTCTATAAGTAGCAAACTGTCATGAGGACCGTGACCCGATCCCTCCGACAGTTGATCCATGGCAACCATGTGGTGGAGCACCCGTCACAAGGATCTGCTTCCCGACATGCCGCCCAAGCGACACCTACTTGTGCCAAGAAGATGGTGGCCCTAACACAATCAAGCAAGCGATGATCGTCACGAGTATCGAGGACAGAAAACACCCCACGACCCGAAGACGACAACGACGGCAACGACGACGACGGCGGCAGTGGTGGTGGTGGTTGTGGTGGTTGTGGTGGTTGTGGTGGTTGTGGTGGTTGTGGTGGTGGTGGTGGTGGTGGTGGTGGTGGTGGTGGTGGTGGTGTCACATAGAACAACACACATGTGATGTACATATGTATACCTATATAATATACATATACATAAATATGTAGAGATATCGAAATATGCGCACACAGGCAAATACGTATACATGCGAAGCTTTGTTGCTTGCTGATCGGCGCATGTGCACCATTCCTTCTGGCACATTTCAATTGCCTGGTTGTGGCATGGGACCAGGTTGGAGCAAGCGAATAATGGACACGATATTTCCGGGGTGTGTATCCCTCAATGTTGCGTGTGTGTCTTCGGCAGCCGTCGAGACTGCTCAGCTTGGAAGCCTCGACAAACCTGGACTCGCCTAGAAGTAAACATACAGACGAGAGGGTAACAGCAAAACAGCTGCATGCAATGCCTTGTTCGTTTTCCCTGGTATTGGCTCCGGTCTCCAATGTGTGTTGGGCGCTTTGTCCCTTTCCGACATCTGCGGAAACACTCCTACACTACACTGTAAAATCCTTGCAATGCTGCTCAGCGTTCTGAGGCTTTCACGTTGTACAACTTCCGAAACGAACATCGGCACTGGGATAATGCAGTCAACTTCCCATGGGATGTGCCTACACCAGTTGCAGCTCTGCTTAAAGCTATGCAGCATTGAAGTCGACAGTGAGTCCATTAACTAACCCTGCACCTTTGCACAGGAACAGGGTGCTTGATCCTCCCAGTTCAGTTGATCACCATCTGACATCTGTCACAGGCCTGCCGGATACCACGAAAATGGCAGCACGGCCCTCCGTGCCCGAAGCCCAACGACATGCTAGCAAAAAAGTCGTCCGTCAACGCGAAGGAACTGCCAAGCTAAGACAGCTAACGTGCACGTTCTCGACAAAGGAGGGTGTGTTGATTTGGTGACAGTCGTCATCGGTGCCATAAGTGGACCTTTCTTATAAAGATGCTCCAGCTCAACACATGTACATTGCCATACTGGTTTGCTTCAGATGCTGCGTCCAGAAATTGTCCACCGTGTCCAACGTTTTTGAAGACACGTCGGCAGCTGGGCGAGTGAGCGAGTGAAAAACTGGTACCAGCCCCCTTACAAAATCCTTTCCCACATCTCTGATTCAACCCTTAAAGTCTTAAAGGATCCCTTTAAGGAACCCCTATACGACCCAGAACCGGGCCCTGAAGGCCCTATCAAAAAGCTGAGCAACCCCGGCCTGGCTCGCGAAAGTCCGGGGTTCGACGTTTTCGCGGCCTCCGGGGCAGGCAAAAGCACCATATTACAATATTATATTGTTATAATATTATAATAGTTTATAGTATGTTATTATATTATTATACTATTATAATATTATAGTGAATATGATCTAGCAGACCCCATTCTGCCGGTAGTACACAGTACAGTACAGGATAGTATAGCATAGTGCGGCATAGTACAGCAGCATAGCACAGTACAGTACAGTTGAGTACGGGGGTTAGCGCCACGATAGGGAAATCGCTCCTGAAAATTCGGCTGCGGCAGGTCGCTTAAGCATCAGGGACTGCACCGCATTCCCACACGATCAAGCAAAACAGCTTCCGGCCCCAGATGCCGGCGGATCTGAGCGCAAGTCGATGGTTTCCTGCCCAACGTCACGCTTGGGAGTCCACTCCCACGCTTCCGTCTTGCTCAACTCTACAAGTGTTCAGAAACAATAAGACGCCCCCACCAGACGTGGCGGTGGCCTCGCTGCAGGCACCCCGTGGTCGAGGAAAGAGCGCCTGGCGGTTGCGACTTGATTCATGGAAAATCAACAAGCAGGAGACGAAGGTGATGATGGCGGTGTGGTATTTGGTGATTTTGGTATGCTTTGTCTTGAGCATTTCTGCCTTGATGGTGCACGTGCAATGAATGACTTCGCTCCTCGGCAGTCGCCCTGCTCGATTGCAAGGCCACGGTACACACTGCAGGGGTCCGCAAGCGGCCATCTTTTTGGTGCAGTCTCGGGGCTGCCTCCTTGTGCCGGCGGGCAGCCTCGGCATCATCTTCTGGCCAACGACAGCCTCGGACATGGAGCTCGCGCAAGGCGCAAGGCGGACTCCCGGAGAACCCACCGTGTCCCTGGCTGCAGCGTGTCTCCGGCGCACAGCCGAAGGCGCCCAGCAAACCTGAAGCCCAAGTCTGTTACGCCAGAAGGAAAGTCGCCTTCACGTGCTTTCCGACCCACAGCTCTTCTGCATGTTCTCAGGTGCCCGCTCCAAAGTAACCTATCTTCGGAGGTCCCACCTCTCCACTGCTCTCAGCCAACATCTTGGAGCCTACAACCAAGGCGGCGCCTTTTGGAGGTGACATGGGCGAACTTGGCACCCTGCCGGCAGTTTTCACATGTCTTCAACACGACAAGGAAAGCCTTGCCTCGCCGAAGTCGGAGGGTGAGGAGCCGCCTGCATTGCAATGACCATCAGCGGCCGACAGCAGCGCTGCTTCGACTCCAAAAGATGCCCGCTGTGCACGCAGTGGTAGTACTAGTACAGACAGTACCTTTGAACTTTCTGCGGCTGCACTGGTGTACGGCGTATGCGTAACTTGAGTTGCGCTGCGCGGGCTGCGCGGTTTCTGGCTTTTCACATGTATGCTTGCTTCGAGGGGTATGTTCAGCGATGTTTGCGATTGAGGGCTCCAGGGCAGCAGTCCAAGCGTCGAAGAGCATGAATCCCGGCTTAAGCTGCATATTCTGAAGTGCTCTGAAGATCTCTGAAGAAGCTTCTCGAGCCTCTTCTGGTAGCGAGTCTGTCCCGGCACCTCGCTGGAGGGGCTTCCGTGCCCTTGCGGTTCTTTCGGCGATGCCGAGGCCTTGGCGCCTGCCGAACTCGCCGAGCTCTGGGTCCTCCGAGCTTTTCGTACTTCGTCTTCTCTGTGCCGTCTTCCTACCGAGAGACCTGGAGCTGCATGCTTTCCCAAGCACGATGCCTCTGGGGGAGCCTGAGGCGGGCTGGTCCAAGTCTCCTATGAGCGGTCAGCTTTGTACCGCGAGGTATCGACAAAACTTGCCGAAACTACAGCATTTGTCGTTGAGATGTGCCAGCTGGGTGTAGTGAAGATTCAGGCTGTGTCTGTGAGATCGGAAGCTCCACGTCGTCTAGGGTGGGAGATCCTTGCAGTTGGACTTCAGCTTTCAGGCATGTAATGGCAGAACAAGATGCGCTGAGCAGCACCATGCCAATGGCAAACAGGATTGTGCCAAGCTTGGGATCACCCTCTTGCCAGTCATCGGGAAAAAAGAAAGTCCAAGATTTCTTCAACACTGACACGAGCGCCGACAGGAAGGCTCTCAGTACGAAGGATGGACTGGCTCGAGTGGGTCCAATGAACCAGCCGGTTGGGACTGCCTGCACCGTGTACATGAAGCGTAGGAGCAAGTCGGTGCAGTCTGCATCGTCGTGCAATTCACTCCTGCCCTCCACCGTCGTCTGCGACAGCAGTTGTAAGCCTACTGCACCAAGCCTATCACATCTATGCGCAACCCAGGCCATTCGAACAAAGGCTACCAATGTGGGGGAGATAAGCTTGAGGAACAGCCCCGTAACCAAGATGCTGGCAAAACGGTCGTCATCTTCCAGAACTTGGAACATCAGGAGCCCAATTGATTGCATCACCGCGCCTGCCAAGATCAGAGCAGGAGCTTCGCCTGCGGAAGCAGACAAAGCTCTCAAGCGTCCGTGAAGCTGCAGATAGTTGACGCTCAACTCCCGAACTCGACGTGCCGAGATGGGCATCTTCAAGAGATCCTCGATTTGGGCCTCAAGCTGCCCAACCTCTGCTGCGGCGAGCTCAAGGAGCCCGAGCAGCGGCCAGGGTGCCATCCCAAGCTGTAGCCGAAACCATGTGTACAACCAGGCAAAGGGAAGGCCAACAGCCGCAATCGCCAATACAAGGACTGCATGCGCAGAGACCGAGCTCTCAAGGTTCTCGGGAAGAATTACTTGTGTCTCGCCCAGCATAAAGACCACTGCCATCAGAAGAAACGCTTCATTCAGCAGGTGTACAATGTCACAGCATGTCCAAACCAGGAAGAAGCAAAGGTGGACTCCATTCTGAACTGCTGTTGCCCGCTCTCGCTGATTCTGCCGCAGCTTCTCCGCATAAGCGTCCGATCTCTCCAGTGCAAACAATTTGCAGCTGCCGCGGAAGCTCAGCAAGAGCCCTGTCAACATCAAGAATCCAAGGCTGCCTTCCAGCAAGGCCCGGGCTAGCTTGCCGCTACTCGAGAATATGGCCACGCGCCTCACATACACGCTGATGCTGATCCCAAAGTACGGTGTGACCAAGCATGTCCAGCAGCCGCTCCACCATCGGCCCAGCGCACGGCAGGACCAGACACAGTAAAGACACCGAGACAACATGCCATTGCAGTGACAATACCCTGAAAGAAAGGTTTGAGCTGTCAGCCGGACGGCCGAAACGGACAGTCAACAACGGCGCAACTCCTAGAACACACCACCAGAAAGCTGGTCCCTTGCTTTGGCGGCAGAGGCAAGCCCAGGGCGCTGCGGGCTTTGCACAGCCTTGGAACCCAGCTGGAAGCTGCA